CACTTGTTGTCACACAACTAACCTATCTGTACTGATATAATATCTTTTACGATCTTCCTAACACTTTTAACAAATAAATCCTGGACTTAAAACTTATTTACGATACAATACCATTAGCATTTAATGTTTTAACAAATTTATTTTCAAATCTAAATATTAATCGATTTTGTTATTTTGGTGGGCTTAGTATCCTCCTTTTCAACTAGAGGCTTTCAAAGTTCATTGAGAGGAGCGTCGTTTACCGGGGTTTTCCTTTTTCCGCCGGCGAGGTTTTGGGTTTTTTCCATTTTTGGTTGATTTCTGGTTTCAACTTTCCAAATTATTTGTGTTTTAACCTAGTTTCAAGGTTGCAAAGAAGCACCGCCGCACAAAGTTTTCAAGTTCTTGGCTGCGTTTGATAATTCTCTGCTTCAAGCTCTGTTTGGCTTGGTGTCTTTTACTCTTGACAAAGCTCTGCAAGCTATGACGATTGAGGAGAACAAACCCGTGAAATTGAAGAACCTACCGAAGTTCAGTTCGTGTGAGAGAAACGTTTGTAGCCTCATGGGAAGGTTAATGTGTCCTGAAAATCAAAAGATGTCAAGATTCATCCATGATATGCCTCGTCTTTGGCATGTCAATAACAGGGCTCGTGGTGTAGCTCTGTCGGAGGATACTTTTCAGTTTATATTTGATAATGAACATGATTTGGAGACTGTGCTCCATGGTGGAGCTTGGACTTATGAAGATTGGAGTATGGTACTCGAAAGATGGGTGGAGAAGCCACCAGAAGATTATCTGAGGATACTACCGCTGTGGATTCGTTTGAGGAACATTCCGGTTAACTATTACACGGTGGAAACTTTTGAAGAGATAGCGGAGAACATTGGTCAAGTGTTAACTGTTGCTTTTGATCCGCTTAAACCACAAAGTAAGGGTTTTGTGAGGGTGCAAATTCTATTTGATGTTAATAAACCATTGTGGAACGCAAATGAGGTGGAGTTACCTACTGGTGAAATGGTGTCCATTGGTGTGGAGTATGAACGTGTGAGAAAGCGTTGCTTTCAATGTCAGAGGCTTACCCATGACAGGTCTCGGTGTCCATTTAATCCTCAGAACCGGCACTCTTGTGCTATGGTGGAGGTTAAAACTGCCACTTTTGGCCCTGAAATCAAAATGACACAACTTGGTCCTGATGATCCTCTGTTTGGGGTTTTAACTAATGATGATGTGGGTATTGATGCTGCGACAGGAAGACCAAAAATCTCAAAAGAGGTTCTGGATGAGATGCGAAGTTACTTGTCGATGACAGACTCTACGGAGAAACAAGCACGTATTGATAGAGTGCGGAGATCTGTATGGGATTTAGAGGGTGACCCGCAAGGTCAGAAGACATTGCTGCATTTGGAACCAGCAACTACAGTTACAACTAATGTCAACAAAGGCAAGGGCTTGGTATTTGATTTTGACACTAAAAAGGTCCAATCCAAAAGTGCTGCAGGTGAAAAACTTTTAGCTTCTGCGATTCGTGCTGGTAATGCTATCACAAGATTCAGCCATTCGGAGTCTACACATGTTGAATCGAAGACTGTAACTCCTCATTTTTCTCCTTGTTCTACGGTGTTTCAAACTGGCGGGAATGCTAGTTCTTCCGGGACAAGTGAGACGATTAAGAAGTATCGTCGGAGACCAAGTCAGCACAAGAGAAAAGCGCAGGCTGCAAAAGAGACTAAGGATGCCCGGAAAGTGGAGTTGGTTTACAGAGAAAAAACAAGACAAGAGGGAGCAGAAGATGTGTCTTTGAAGAGAAAAGCGGAGGAGAATGGTTTGTCATCACCAAAGATTTCTAGGCGGTCTGAAAATGATTTAGCGGTGGTTCCGTATGAGGAACCGCCAAAGCAAGTATGAGCATACTCAGCTGGAATTGTCAGGGATTGAGGAGCTCGCTGACAATTCCTATTTTAAAGGAAATGAGACGTGTTCATTTCCCGGATATTTTGTTTCTCCTGGAGACGAAAAACTCCAGTAATCACGTGTTGGATGTTAAAAAATGGTTAGGTTATGATTCTTCTCATATAGTTGATCCTGAAGGTTTGAGTGGAGGATTAGCTATATTCTGGAAAGCTTCTTATGATGTTGAAATTCTTCACTCAGATAAGAGAATTATCGACACAAAAATCAAGTTTGGGTCCTTATGGTTTTTTGCTTCTTTTATTTATGGAGATCCAGCTTGTAATTTAAGACAAGATGTTTGGGATAAGTTAACAAGTATTGGTCTAACAAGGAATGAACCATGGTTTGTCGTTGGTGATTTAAATGAGATCTGGGACAATTCTGAAAAGCTTGGTGGTCCTGCCCGTGATGAATCTTCTTTTTTACCTTTCCGCAATATGGTTCGGGATTGTCGTCTCCGTGACATCTCATTCACGGGTAACAAGATTTCTTGGGCAGGTAAACGCAATGATATGTGGATCCAAATCAGATTAGATAGAGCTCTTGGCAATTCTGAATGGTTTCATCTTTTTCCGAGAGTTCAAGCTGAATATCTAGAGCGGGTAGGTTCGGATCATAGGCCCTTACTGACCAGGTTCGTCAATGAGAATCAAACACTTAGAGGTTGCTTCATGTTTGATAAACGGTGGACTGCTAAACCGGAAACTTTGGAGATTATTAGACACGGTTGGAACAGTGAAGGAATGGATGGTAACTCGAGTCTCTTTGATCGAATCGCAGCATGTCGGAAGTCTTTATCTCTTTGGAAACGTGGTTCTCAATCCAATTCTAAGACAAGAATTAAACAGTTGCGTGAACAACTTGAGGAAGAAGGTTGTAAACAATTTCCACGATTTGTTCTTCTTCAACAATGGAAAGGTGAATTGGATGCGGCGTATCGAGAAGAAGAGATTTATTGGAAGCAACGTAGTCATGAAAATTGGCTTAACGATGGAGATCGCAATACCAAATACTTTCATGGGAGTGTTCAAGGGAGACGAGCTCAGAACAAGATTTTTTCTTTAATTGATGATAATGGTGTGGAACAGTTTGCAGATGGTTCTAAAGGTAATATAGCGGTGGACTACTTTCAAAAGCTTTTTACCTCCTCGCAGCCATGTGATGCAACCTCTTTACTTGATGGTATGTCCCCTCGAGTCACTCCTTGTATGAATGCTGCCTTAACTAAACCCGTCACCAATGAGGAAATTAGACAAGCGGTTTTAGCTATCGGAAGTTGTAGTGCTCCTGGTGCGGATGGCATGACAGGATTATTTTTTCAGTCTTATTGGAGTGTTGTTGGTCAGCAAGTTTGTGAGGAAGTGAAAAAATTCTTTGAATCTGGTTCATTACCGAGTGAATGGAATTTCACACAAATTTGTCTCCTTCCTAAAAAACAAAATCCTAACAGAATGACTGATCTACGTCCGATTAGCTTGTGTTCCGTTTCGTATAAAATCATCTCTAAGATTTTATGTTCAAGGTTGAAGGTATGGCTGCCGGAGATTGTTTCTGATGCGCAAGGAGCCTTTGTCTCAGGTCGTTTAATCTCAGACAATGTTCTGTTGGCTCATGAGATGGTTCACGCATTACGCACTAATCCGGATTGTAATGAGGATTTTATGGCTATCAAAACCGACATGTCCAAGGCGTACGATCGCGTTGAATGGAATTTTTTGGAGGAGCTTTTTATTAGACTTGGTTTTGATAGGAAATGGGTAGATTGGCTCATGGTTTGTGTGAGAAGTGTTACGTACTCGGTCTTGTTGAATGGGAATTCCTATGGTTTTATCAAACAGGAGCGTGGAATAAGACAAGGTGACCCGCTTTCGCCTTTTATCTTTATTTTGTGTGCTGAGGCACTTGTCTATACCATGAAAAAGGCTGAAGTTGAAGGACGTATCACTGGTATTCGTTTAACTAGGAACTGCCCGTCCATTCAACACTTGTTGTTCGCTGACGATAGTCTTTTTCTTTGTCGGGCTACTTTTAAAGAAGGGGCTGAAATTCTCAAGTGTTTGAAACTATATGGTGATGCTTCCGGTCAAGAAATAAATCTTCAGAAATCGTCAATTATTTATGGCACCAAGATGGAGCCGATTATGAGACATTTGCTGGGACTGTTTCTTGGAATTTTCAAGGAAGGTGGTGATGGTATGTATCTAGGTCTTCCGGAATGTTTTAGTGGTTCTAAATGTGACTTGTTATCATACATTACAAAGAAGCTCAAAACCCGGCTGACTGGTTGGTTTGCAAAGACGTTGTCGTTAGGAGGGAAGGAAGTCCTTCTTAAATCTGTTGCCATGGCCTTACCAGTGTACGCCATGTCTTGTTTTAAATTAACAAAATATCAATGCCAACAGATTACGAGTGCAATGACAAGCTTTTGGTGGAACTCATGTGAAGAACATAAGAAGATGCATTGGGTGTCTTGGGAAAAGATGTGTAAAACAAGGAAAGAAGGTGGTTTAGGTTTTCGAGCTGTTGGTGATTTTAATCAAGCTTTACTCGCAAAACAGGCCTGGAGACTTCTTACAAAACCAAACTCTTTGTTGGCGCGGGTATATAAAGCACGTTATTATCACCGTAAGGATTTTATGGATGCTGTTGTTGGGGCTCGACCGTCTTATGCGTGGCGCAACATTATCCATGGTAGGGCTCTGCTTGGAAAAGGCCTCATAAAAACCATCGGGAATGGACAAACTACTAGTGTGTGGATTGACAAATGGATCTTTGATAACGTCACGGGTCGTCCTTTCAACAAACAGTCTCTTTTTTATTTAGATTTGCGGGTTTCAAACCTTATTACCCCCCAAGGCTCTTGGAACCACAATCTAATATCGGAACTGTTTTTTCCACCGGATGTTGTCAGAATTATGTCTTATCCTCCAAATGTGGCTGCAGCAGATAGCTATGTATGGGCTTATAACCGGTCTGGGTGTTACACGGTCAAGAGTGGTAATTGGTTATTGTCTCATTTACAAACTGATCCTACATCTTTATCTGCTCATGACAAGGAGACTCGTATACTTAAAGAGAAGATTTGGGCGATTAAGACTATTCCTAAGATCAAAATGTTTTTATGGAGAGCTTTATCTGGTGCTTTAGCAGTCTCGGTTTGTCTTCAGGCTCATGGTATGAATTCTGCTCTTCAATGTTCTCTTTGTCAAAATGATTTGGAATCCATCAGCCATGTTCTTTTTAATTGTTGGCCGGCGCGAGAAGTTTGGGAGATTGCCAACATTCCCTTACCTTCTCACGGGTTTACAGATTCAACTAATGACAATCTAGCATTTTTGTTGAAAGTTATGAGCAATGATAGTGTTTCACTCTCTATACGTATGGCGATTCCGTGGATCTTGTGGGGAATCTGGAAGCACCGCAATGAAGTTTTATATGCTGGGAAACAAGGTGATTTGAATGCATTGGTAGTTCATGCAATAGAAGAAGCGGAACTGTGGAATAAGTTAAAGGAGACACAACCGCAGCCTCCTCTTGGTACTGGTTTGAATGCTCGCCGTGAGACCAGATGGGTTAAACCTCCCATTAACTTTCTTAAGTGTAATCTTCATGTCTCTTGGTTAAATGAGTCTCATATGTGTGGTGGAGCTTGGATGGTAAGGAATCACCAAGGAGATGCAGTTTTCCATGCGCGAGAAATGTTTCTACCCGCTTCAAATCGTATCGCTGCGGAATTAAGAGGGATCCTTTGGGTTCTACATAGTCTTTCTGACTTGCATTTGGATAACATTGAAATATGGTCTGATTGTCATGCTGCAATTGACGCCATTATTGACCTATCAAATTGGCCAAGGTATCACTCCTTCCTTGACAAGATACATCGGCTAATATCAAGCTTTGGTAAAATTGTGTTTAAGGTGTCTTCTACAAAAGCTAATGCGATCGCAAGAGCTATTGCTGCGAGTGTCACAAGTGATGGACGGGGCCAATCTTATTTAGCTAGTGGCGGTCCGGCTTGGCTATTTTCACGTATTGAAGAGGAGAAAAGGAGATGACATAGTCTGGAAGTCTTTTATAATCATTTATACTCTGTTTTGTGGAGTTCTGTTTCTTATGTTGGCATGTTCTGTTTTTTACTTTGAATACGTTTCTTATTTTAATAAAACATATTAGACGGCAAAAAAAAAAATCGATTTTGTTACTAAAATTTAGGAAACTAAAAGAAAAAAAATTACAAAAATCATTTAAATCTTTCCAAATCTAAACAAAATATAGTACACACTAACAATCCTTTTAAGAGGATCAATTAGCATTAATCACCCTGATTTTCGTTTTAAATAATTTATTTTCAGTTAATAAAAAGAATGAAATCTCATATTACAATATATGCTTTAAATTTTTCATAAAAAATTAATTACGCCACAATTTTAAAAATTGAAACCCTAATTCTTTCCCAATCCCCTATAAATTAAAATTCATTTCTTAAGCTTCCCTTCATTAATCATTACGATAAATCGGCTCTCTACAGTCCTAATTCTTCATTAAAAACTAAAATTTATATATTTTCATATGTTTGATTATGTTTCTTTGAATGATTCATTAGGTCTTGCCAATCATGTTTGTTCAATACAATATCACTCTTCTTGAGAAGATCGAAATTGATTTTATTTTATTTTGAATCACTTTTTGGAGAGTATGATCTTCCTCTTATAGTAGTTCACAAGAGCAGAGGCACTGGTAGGTAGTGGGGTCAGCAGACCCCTACTAATTTTAAAAATTCCATTATATGTCTTTATATTAAATCTATTGAACCCAACTAAAAATATCTCTTGACCCCATTGACCCAATCATCAAAAACTAATTTACATCTACAAAAAGCCCATCCATATACATTTTTGCAATACTTTATGAAATAAATCCTCAAGTTGCAACTTATTTACAAAGAATGTCATTGACATTAATTATTATCAATTAATTAAGATTCTTAATTACTAGCATTACTTTATCTAATATATTTTCATCAATTCTAATCTATATATATAATTAGAGAGTTTTCTCTCCATCTAGGGTGTCCACATCATCATCCATGTCATCCTATTTTAATTTTTTGTGGGCTCCACATATATTATTTATTAAAACAAAAAATTAAAACTAAATTTCATTCACACACTTCATATTATTATCTTTCCTTAAATAAAAATAATAATTTACAAAAAATAAAATTAAATATTAATAGAAAACGAAAAAAATAAATATTTTAAACAAATATGAAAATTTTAAATAGATATTAAATAAGCATAAAATTAGCTATTATATCTTACAATAATATCACTTCCACAATAATAAAATATAACTAAAGAAGCTTATCATATATCTTAACGGATATATATAATTAGAGAGTTTTCTCTCCATCTAGGGTGTCCACATCATCATCCATGTCATCCTATTTTAATTTTTTGTGGGCTCCACATATATTATTTATTAAAACAAAAAATTAAAACTAAATTTCATTCACACACTTCATATTATTATCTTTCCTTAAATAAAAATAATAATTTACAAAAAATAAAATTAAATATAATAGAAAACGAAAAAAATAAATATTTTAAACAAATATGAAAATTTTAAATAGATATTAAATAAGCATAAAATTAGCTATTATATCTTACAATAATATCACTTCCACAATAATAAAATATAACTAAAGAAGCTTATCATATATCTTAACGGTACAATAATTATTTTTGAGATTTACAATTATTTAGTATAATAAAGAAAATAAGAGTTAAAAAAATACAAAATTTAAAGGTTCTTACTTAAACTAAAAAGTAATTCATTTCCGAAATAATATTCAATTAAAATTTAAGAATATATTTGTTAATATTAAAGTATCAATTCATAATACCGATTAAAATATAAGAAGAATTGTGTATGTGCTATTATTATTTATAATTATAATATAATATAAACAAGTAACATTTTCTAAATTGAAACAATGGTAGTTTTTAAACAAATGAATAGCTAAAAAAGAAAAATTAAATATTAATCAGTGTTTAGGAAATTAACATAGATTGAAAAAACTAGGCTGATTTAAAATAAAACAAAAAAAACTATTCTAGACATCACAAATAAAAATAAAATAATCTAATCAATAATAAAACTGTAAGAATAATATTTGAGAATGATATTTGGAACTTAGAGTAGTGATAGTAATGGTAGATCGAAGAGTTTTTAATTAGAAATAAAGATGATTTTGTTTTTGAAAAAAAAATTATTTTAAAATTAGAATAATTTTTTATGCGTTTGTAAGTTACACATTTTAGAAAAATCAAATTTAAGAATATTATCTAAAATCATAATATATGTCAACTTATATATGTGAAAAGAGAATTTTATATTTTCAAATGATCAAGATAAAAGTGCAAGATTTGACGTTGAAATCTGATGTACGTGGTTAGAAATGAGTTCATATACGAGATTTGTTCTCTATAAAACAATTTCACATGCACCAAAACATGGTTAAAGAAACTTCATGACAAATATCTGTCCAATATATTTTAACTTTCACTTAAATGAAGAAAACCATGAAACTCATTAAAAACTTGAATATTGAAATATAGTAAAGAGGAAATAGATATGGTCTGTTTTGGGAACCAATTTGTAGTCGAGTATATTGCATGTGATTCATTAGATAGTGAAAAAAAGTAGATGTCGAGAGACGACGAGTGAATCATTCAAGATAACAAGAGAAATGTAGTGAACAACTAATTATTTTCTAAGCTTTGGATTAAGAATGCAAATGCTTAAAATAAAATCTCTTCAAATTCGAATGATTATATTTATAATAAAAATACACATTAATAAAAAAAATTAAATTAAAATCCCGCGCAACGCGCGGGTATATAATCTAGTCTATATATATAATTAGAGAGTCTTCTCTCCATCTAAGGTGTCCACCTAAGCATCCACCTAAGCAATAATATTTATTTTACATTAAAATCAATTTAAAACATCCATTTAATGCATTTACTTGTAATTAATAGAAATAATAAATTTTAAATAAATAAAAAACGAATTATGTAAAATAAATAAAATGTTAAAATAATAAAATAATACTATAAAAATTTTATAAGTAAGACTAATATAATTCAACTTTTAAATGATAAAAATTAAATATGGTCAGTATTCAAAATTTTAAATGTGTTAATGAGTTTTAGGATGGAAGTAAATTTATGTAATTCTATATGTGAAACTTTAAACAAGAAAATAAAATTCAAAGTAAAATATTAGTTTCGAAGAACAATATACTACATATTTTTAGTTATTATTAAATTTTTACTTAAAGAAAAATAAAAAATTACTAAACTCAACTTAAATTTATAATTTAAGAAGAAAATATTGTAAGATGCAAACTTTATCTTGTGAAATTATAAAAAACAAATCTTGAAAATTTTAAAACCTTATCATCCATCTTTTAAAAAATAAATAATCAGTGATCACAGTATTCATGAGTTTTACAATAAAATATATTAAAAATAAATGTAAGCCATTAAAAAAAAGTGATATGTAATTTGTGTAGCATATTCTCAAGTGGAAGTACAACTTTATAACAGAATAAAAAAAACTAAGTTTGATATTTCATCAATGAAATATTGAAAAGATAGTTATGATATGTCTTGAAAATCAATTCACAGTCCAATATATATTATGTGTGAGTCAATAGAAGGTAAAAAGAAAGTAGATGTCGAGAGGCAACGATTGCATCATAGAAGATGACGAAAGAACTGGTAGTTAAAAGAGTTTGAAAATAAATTTCTAAAACTTTAGAAAGATAATGCACATGACTAATGTATCTTTGAGATCTCATTCATTGTGTGAAACGAATGAGTTCTTAGAAAATACATGACATACATTATTAAACAAATTATTAGATTCAAAGTTGGGTTTAACCGTTTGGCCATTTAATCATGGAAAGTAAAATAAGATAGGCACATTGATGACTTAGTCGGAAATTCTCTTATTGTTGCACTAGCTTTGATGGGTAAATCAAACTCGCTAAACTGGTTCTAGCAACATGGTATTATAGATGTACTTTTACACTAAATAATGTTCATGAAACTCGGGAAATTCACATTTTATATGGAATGATGTTATGTTCGTATCAACATTTAATCATAAATAATATCTACAATTAGATCAACAGTCGATAATTAATATCATAACTTTTAGAAATACCTTCATGGAATATGAATAAGAAATAAACTCTTTGAGAGTGTTGATACCGTTTATTATTTGTGGAATTATCTTAAGTGATCTTTGTTACCACGTGATATATATCAAATTATTTATTTGTCAAAGAAATATTATCGTCGATAATATATATGTTATATATCGCTGCGTAAAATAAGTTTAGTGTTTAAAATTTGAATTATTATATTTATGCTCAAAAAATTATCTTTTAAATTTAATTGATTATATTTTATGCTCAAATTTTATATCAATAGAAAAGATTTTAAAATTAAAATCCCGCGCAACGCGCGGGTACAAAATCTAGTATTATTTAATCAGTATTGAATCCAACCTTCTTCAACGAGCGAGCCGTTCGGCAAAACGAGGTCGTTTCATACAAAAAAAGGTCCAATTCATTCTCTTCGTTAGATTTTGGACTAATCATTATTTTCGTGCCTGCAAAGTCAGCACGACGATCGCGTTTCGATCTTCAAACAATCACAAATCGCGGTGCATAGAATTTAAAGGGTAAGCTTTTCGATTCATTTCACCTTGTGAATTTAGATCAATTCCGTCGCTTCTTTGATTTGGGGATTTCTCGGACGCGAAATCTTCCCTGTTTATGAATTTACGAATCATGGGTATCGCCGATTTTGGGTCTCAGTGGCTGACTCTAGTTGCGAATTCTGCTGTCTCAATTTTCTTCCACGCAACAGTAAAGTTTTTATCTTTCCGCCTGAAAAGGTCGAGAGATTTTGTGTCTGTACTGATGCCTAATTTTTCTATCTGAATTGATTCTCTTCATTGTGGCTCGTTAAAAGCTTCCAAATTTGTCGCCTTTTGGTGCAAAGCTCATAAGCCATAACACGGCTTATGGTAATTTTGTTGGGATGTAAGAGATATCAGCTAGTTGCTGCTAGTTACTT